GGTTGTGGTGGTTGTGGTGGTTGTGGTGGTTGTGGTGGTTGTGGTGGCTGTGGCGGTGGCGGTGGCTGTGGCTGTGGCTGTGGTGGTGGTGGTGGTGGTGGTGGTGGTTTCGGTGGTGGTTTCGGTGGTGGTTTCGGTGGTGGTTTCGGTGGTGGTTTCGGTGGTGGTTTCGGTGGTGGTTTCGGTGGTGGTTTCGGTGGTGGTTTCGGCTGTGGTTTCGGTTGTGGTTGTGGTTGTGGTTTCGGTTGTGGTTGTGGTTGTGGTTGTGGTTGTGGTTGTGGTTGTGGTGGTGGTGGTGGTGGTGGTGGTGGTTTGTTGCTGGATAGTTTTTGTTGCATGTTCTTTAAAAAGGAAAAGGTGATTGGAGGGTGATCCATAAATCCGACATCTGGGAGTAGTGGGCATGGGTCCTGGAGTTCGCAACAATGCATATAACGTCATTCACGAGATGCATGTCACCTAACACTTGGTGAAGCAAAGCCTTTGAAGGTCACGATACCCACTTGTAAGATAGTAGACTCTCGGCTTGAGTCCATCTGGGACAACTACCGGCTAGTGCAGAAGATGCATCCGTGTCCCGACAACAGCACAAAGTGCACTCGGATCAGTACCCTTCGGAATTGTTTCAAGTGAAGAAGCAGTTCACATTGTTTATGTTGTGTTAAAATAATTGAGCAGTTCACCTTGTGTTCAAATTGAGCAGTTCTTTCTTTTCAAGAAGCAGTTCACATAAGCCGTGAAGAGACAGAGATGCCATTTAGACGGACGACGAAGCGGAGAGCGGAGAGCTACTCACTCAGCGCGACCACGTCGTCCGCAAACGTCGTCCGGGGCTGAGAAGCGGAGAGCCGAGCGGGCCGCGTGTGTCGACGGGTGAAGCGTGGGAGGATGAGACGTAGGATGCTGTCCAGGTGATCGACTTGGTGGTTGAAGTCTAGTGGAGAAAGAGTAGCTGAGTAGCTGTGCTAAGGATTGAAGTCTCAGTCCACAAGTCCTCTCTGCAAAGAGACGCACTTCTTGGAACATCAGCCCAGCTATCAAAGGGGCCAGAACCTGTCTAGGGGGTCTGATTCCGGGATCTTCGTGCAGGCGCCAAGATGTTCAGGCCGCTGCCGGAACGAAGCGCCGGGAAAAGATGGAGACCAAACAAAACCAAGGAGGCTTCCGTCCAACATAGGTTTGTTTGGTCTCCTTTGGTCTCCTGGTTTTGCCTCGTTTTCTGGGGAATCTCTACAGGCCTCCCTCATGCTTGCCAAGTAGCACATTTCTGCGCTGCTGCATCTGCGAGGGCATTCGCAGTCACCGACGCTGTCTGGGCACGTTGCGGAGAAACCCACGACAAGTTTCGCTTGGAGAATGAGCGCTCACCAGGGTGCACCTCCAAAATCACCTCCAATATGCATCATTGTGTCATTATGCATCCACACACAGCAATTTGCAGCAGTCAGTAGACTTCACCACCCAAAGGCTTTTGACAAGCATCTCCGTTTGGTCGAGTGAATTCACGTTCGGCTTGCGTTGTTCCGAACTTCCCCCGACTTGACAATCAGCCACAAGGACATGGACAAGGGCACATCCGTGACTGGCAGAGTCTATACCAGGACTGGTGGGCCCCCCCGAGTCCCTGACAGACTCTCTGGACTCAGAGAGTCTCCCGCCTTGGATGGAGGAGGCCACAGGCTCGGTGGGGCCATGAGGGCCCTCTTCGCATCCTCGGTTGTGGAGGTCGGTGCGTGTCTGACGGGCAGCGCACGCGCTGCATCTGAAGGATGTTTGGAAGATATATGTACATACCTAGAACCTGATTGACCCCTGTTTTGGAGCCAAAACATGGCTTTTTCCTATCAAAACAGAGGTCACATGGGTTCTAGGTATATATAATTCCTTGAGAGCAAAAGAGATGGATGATCCGGATGATCTGATTTGGAATCGCGGAATCGCTGCAGAAGTGGGTCATTCTGGAGAAATGCAGCTGCAGGTCAGCAGTGGGGAAAGACATGGAAAAGTGGACTTGGACATGCGGCATGAGGGCTTGGAAATGATCATGACTTGGGGAAAGCATCAAGACCATCAGGTCAATCAGAAGGAACATGGTGCAGAGTCATGACTTGGTCCATACTGGTGTCAACCGTATCGGATGGCGAAAATGGAGCCCAGTGATTACACCGGAAGTGATGCGACTAGATACACCTTGATAACTTCAACCCTCCTAAGCCGCAACAACTGCCCAAACCAAGTACAGTAGAGAGATAATAAAGTATGTAAACACCTTGCAAGTCCAGGATTGAAGAGCTTGGGATAGTGTGGCGACCCCAACAATGTCCTCCAGATTTGGTGACAGTGTTGGTGACCGTCTGGGATTCTTTTATGATCCCTTTCCTTTGACCCAAGGGTCTCCATCCGATTTGCCAAAACCAAATAGTCGACCATGGTGGTGCTCTTCATGGAGTCATTCCACTTCATGATGCGTGAAGAGTACCGCGGAACAACTGACTGATGTCTGCATCCTTCCCTGCATCCTTGCCAAAGTCGCTCGAGGAAGGCGTCTAGCTCGCGGCGTCGGCGCCTATAAACAAGCAGCGTTGGCATCGGAGCTGGTCGCTGACGGTTGAGGATGTTCTTGCTCAAAGCACTGCATGTTCACAAGCCAAACGAATGAAAAGGTTGTGGGGGGGCCCATCGTTCTTGTGAGTTTCCTGGTTAATTGCTTTCTTCGAAAACCTGCGTGGACCGGCCAAAAAGAGGGTTGACATCACTTGGTTCTTCTTCAGACTAGTACAGTACTTTACCCAATGGTCTGTCAAGTTAGCCGAATGAGCAAAAATCAGAAAACGAGAGAAGTTGAGCACTCCCATCCATTCTCCTGTTGCCCGGGTGCGACGTTTGAAAGGGTGCGAAAGTTAGCTGAGAAAAAAGATCAGCTCACAAAGCCAATGTTGATGTGGACCTCAAAGGGCTACGATCTTGAATCATGACCCCTCCTACAAAACTGCCGGAATGCCCTCGCGTCGCTGGTGAACATCACCATCCGAGGCTTGTTTCGACATGTTCAGGCAGGACCAACTAATCAGAGGTGACCTCTAGACTTCCATGTTCTTCATGCAGGCGACTGAACCGAACCTCTCGGCTCCCGCTTCAGAGCGCGGGAGATCGGTGGCGTTCCGAACCGTCGGGCCGGCCTCTCGGCTGAATGGCCGGTCATACTCCCACAAGACCCGCCCCCTGCATCCGGTCGCAGGCACCAGTTGAGCAGCGGGTTCGGATAGATCCCCGTTAATAGCACTGACTTTGCCAAGTGGTAGATTATAACAGAGGACATCATAGAATCACTCAGCTTCCAGCCTGAAAAATTCCCCTTTGCTGAGATGCATTCTGAATGAACTGGAATTGGAGTTTGCTTTTGGTTCTGTTCTTCCCTGAGGTGCATCGAACGAGCCGTCGTTGCTTTTTCTCGTTGCTTTTTGGAGGAGCGGCCGATCTGTGGCGCGTCCGCCGCAGTCCGCAGCGCCCGTGCTGCACCGGGGCCGGTTGTGCGCAGTAAAAAGGTCACCTGGCTGGAAGCCCCCCGCAGCGTTAGTGCCGACTACTATGTATAATATATGCTGTTTGATGGGAGAGAGAGAGAGAGAGAGCATCGAACTTTTGTGCATGGGAGGGGCGAACGCCCAGTTTTCACAAGTTTGGTACCGTTGATGGGAGGGGCGGTGCTCACGTTCTCAGCATCTGGCTCCAGTGGCTCCTGTTGCTGCGGCCCCTCCGACTTATTTCCCACTGCGCCTGGAGGAAAGTGGGCATGGGATGACCTGAACTGGCCATGACAAGTCCAGACGAGCTCCACACTCCACCAAGGTGTCCAGTCCAGGCATCCAGACGAGTTGGAGTGTCGGTCTGTCGGTCTGTCGGTCTCTGAGACCGACGCCCGACCCGGACCGACCCCGAAGCAGGTGGAAACGCCAAGCCCGGGCCAGGCTGCGTCGTTCTTCCTTGGGTCTATCCCATCAACGAATTGTTGACCGATATATCATATATAGTTTGGGTCTATCCCATTACCTGTAACAGTGGATGATTATGGGGCCTGGTTGCAGGCCTTGTTCAAAAAGGATGATAATTGTTTACTGACTGTTACAGGTAAGTTCGGACAGACCCTATATATAGTGATAATTGTGTACCGACTGTTACAGGTTCTCAGGTATTAGGACAAACCCAATCTATTCGGTTCATGTTCCATCGTAGGGCCCAGGGTCCCCTGGCTTTGACCCACAGCCATTGTGACTCCCGGAACAATCAAAGTTAACCATTTTTCTCTATATAGTGGACAAACCTCGTCCCCCGCAAAGGTTGTTTCAGGCCAGGTCGCTGACTGGGTAGGAGTTTGAGACCAATTTTTTGGAGGTCAACTTGTAGATGATCTTGACAGGTCAACATGCATCTTGACTTACACTCCCTGAAATAATCATGGAAGTGGAAAACCACCGGTTTGTAGAATAACCGGCCATGCCATCCACGGAACGTGTAATTCAGTGGTCATCCCCAGCTTTTCTGGAGAGCCTCGTTCGGCCACAAAAGGCGACCCCACACGGCGCATGAAGGGGTGTCCACATCTCTTGGTTTTTTCATGTCTTTTACTCTTCTTTAACCGAAATGTGGTCGCCAAATCCAGCAGTTGCTCGATTCGCCCCAGGTTCGTTGCACTTGGGGTGCTCTTTCTCCATGCTGCGGGTGTAGCTGTGGAGTTCGGGATGAATCCAAGATCTGGCTGGTCCAAGAACTTGGAGGAACAGCAGCACTCGGTGCATGGACGAGGGAAGACCTGCGTCTCTTACATTTGCGGCTCTTCCTGAACTACTTGACGCAGGCTGCTCCCAGCTGCCCGGTCGTGTCAAACCGTGTCCGATTGGCTCTCCCCTTGACTCCTTTCGACGGTAGACTGTGACATCGTCCGGGTGAAGGTGCCCAGCGCTCCAAGTGAACTGAGAGCCGCACCATTTTTGAGTGGCAAAGTTGGAAGTAGCTTGAAGTTCGTCTAGGGCAGGCGTTGCCGGAAATAAAGCCTCAACTCCTGGCTTCCTGCTTTCAAGGCAAATTGATGCAAAGGTCGGGAGGAGCTCTCAGAGATTGGATGTCTTTATCTGCTTGACCCCTAGCCCTAGCACGTGGGTGTTTTTAAATGAACTTTGGTCTTGCTCAATGATCCAAAGTGATCTTTGGAGTACTGAGTCTCTGTGTCAGTCTTCAGTCTTGAGATTCTTCTATGTCTTGAGAAGTACTGAGATGGATCAGCTTTCATTGTCACATCAATCCATACTCCTACAGTCGCTCGTGCAATCCAAGCTCCTACGGTCGCTCGCGCTCGAGCCGATTCCAGCTAAAGGGAACGACATGATCTCCACCAGCTGGGACCCCTTCGATGTGGCCCAGCTGGGATTAGAGAAGCACGGGGGTGGGAGAAGCCTGGATGTTCCATGTCTACTCAGCTTCAGGCGCTCAGATCTATTTTTTTTCGGAGAATTCCGTGGCATGAACTTCTGACAAACATACACATGGTCTCTCACCATGCACATCTCTCCCGTGGAAGAGTGGTGTCAAAAGCCTCCTGCATCAAGTCGCCTTTTTGGCTTAGACCATGTGACGAGGTGACAAGTTTCTCTGGACTCTGGACCTCGTGCAGCATCTAAATACTTTACGGCCGATCTGTGAAGCCTGTTTGATGTTTTTGGCATCATTATGCCATTATACCTGCATGGTGCTCAAACAACCATTGGGCTTGGAATTCAATGGGGAACCCCCCAGCAATGGGTTGTGGTCTATTCTCCTTCTTCCAGAGAGTCAATCGAGGGTCTCCCTCTATATTCATCCCTGTTCTAATACACACCCAGTTGGACTGTGTCTTCCTGTCACAATCCCAAGAAGCTCCGAAAGGTCTTTTGGACCACTGGGATGCGCCGAAGAATTCCTGACGCAATGAAAAGCAAAGAGCCTGGCAATCTGCTCAGCCGAAATTCAATCAAGATCTTGGACGGTGGAAGCACCATCTTGACCAGGGTCTTTGCTGTTCCCGTTTTACTAGAAAGAATCTCTACGACCTGCAAAGGAACCACTCGCAAGTCCTGATCGAGCGCCAACTTGCGGTTCGAGGAATGCTTCGACGCGGTCGTTTCTCCATATAATGTTAATGCTCCGTGAAAGCTGCCAGCATGACACCTCTATGGTCGTCCAACCTTCCCAAGAATTCCATGCATCTCCTCACCAAAATCACAGACACCACGTCGATTGACCATGAGAAATGTAAGAATGATGGGTGATCCGCAGCTCATGCACTCCCTTTTCATGGTCTTGTCCATCTCACACCCATCAACAATCATCCAAAACTTTGCTAAGAGGTCCAGGACAGGCTGGACAGGGTCCATCATGGATCCACTGTCATGGATCCACGTTCCCCTCCAGCGGCTCCTGGTGCCGATGATATGGGCACCGATAAGTCGGTGCATAGTCTGTCAAAGCGATGTATCAAAACGAAAAGACTACTAGTAACAAGTAAGCTATTAGCTTCTTGTTTCTACTAGCTTCTTGTTACTACTAGTAAGGCACTTGTTACTACTAGCGATGCACTTGTTACTACTACAAAGGTCGCAGACGGGGTTGAGGATTATCTGGATACCAACCGATTGACATACCCAGGCGTGACCAGTCGTTCGCGGCAAATGGTGGACTGGTCGGGCTCCAGGTTTTGACCCACAGCCATAGTTTTATATAAATCTTAATACATGGGTGCGGATTCAAGAACCCAGCGATTGTGCTTTGGGAATTCTTGTTTGGGAAAGAACATGATCTGTTCTCTCAAACCGCTGGTGGTCTTTCTGGTCTCTGCGCAACACACAATTTGGAATTTGGAGCAGCTTTGGATCGAAAAACCACGAAGGTGTTCATCCAACTCTCAAAACGTCCAGGATACAACACTGGTGAATGAAAGTGGGTCTCCATCCATCATTCCTACTGTCTTTGGCCTCCATCACGTCGGCAGCCCAAAATCTTAGCTTCGCTCCTTCTCTGGCTGCCCAATGCCGGACTCAGCTGGCCAATGCCGGACTCGAATAGATGGAAAGCCCATGATTCCGGGTCTTGTCTGGTCTAAATCCTGGGAGATTTGTAGCTTTGCTCAAGAAAAGAAGCGGAGAACAAAAAAAGTGAACATGTTTGGAGGAGCTACAGTAGCTGTTGGCTTTGGTGGCTCTAGCGGAGATCGCAGAGATACGCAGAGCGCTCCTTAATTTATAGCGCATACAGACATCAACTGGACAAAGTTGCAACAGGGTATAAAATTGTTATATTCCCACTGCAGCCATTGGAATATCAGAGTTCATTTTCTTGGCAGAATCTGCCCATGTCCAATTTTCTACACCAGGATTCTGATTGGCATTGATCCTCCCCCCCGTCTACTCAGTTTGAGACTGTACGCTTGCCTGCCCCAGCACAGCTTCTAAAGATATACCTGCCTCCTGCCGCTTCACAGATTGAAAACAACACAAATCACCCAGGCATACCGGAAGCTTGCTGGCTCAGATCCTGACATCTGCCGTCTTGGCCTTGGAAGCTGCACATTCAATTGGATGCTCCGGGAAGAATTGGTCACAAGGATGTTGTGGGTCCAAATCTCCCGCGCTTTTGCACCAAGGTAATGGCCAAATGTCTACCTTTCACGTAAATTAGTGTATGCTGTTCACCTCAATATCAAGCTCAATATGAACACGTTGTCACTTGGGCTTTTGATTGAAACTCTTCATAGGAATGAAGCTCTACACTCCAAGTGCAATGCAAGCCTCTTCCTTTTTGCGACAAAAAGAGCACTACCGGCTACCGGTTTCCGGTCTGCGTCTTGGCTGCATCAAGCTTTGCAGACCACCTTATTTTCATAATGGTAGATGTCCCTCCAATAGTTGTCGTAGACGCGGAAAGGCCACTTCCCCTGTTTGCCGCTGCAGCAGTATTTTGCATAGACGTGATCACCCTTGGGTGGTCCCAAGGCCAAAGCAAGTGAGTCTTGCTCCACTTCTGTTACTGATGGAATGCAACAGCGCTTTTCCTTTCCACATATCACTCCAACCCCATAGGTGTCGAAGCCGGCACACTCGGTCTTCTCAATGCTTTCGCGTCCCAGCCACTTTCGCCGACAACGTCCTTGGATGGCTGGCTTACAACGGGGTCCCCGGCCGGGAATGTTGGCACAAACCAAGCCTTCAGCGCAGCAATCGCTGGGCTGTTCATCCCAAGGAAGTTCGGCACATTGGCATGGTGCTCCTTTTGCGGGCGGTGACTTTTGTTGGAGAAGATGTTTGGGGATACGCTGGCAGCGAGCACCCCGGCCTGGCGTCTTGGCACACATCAGGCCTTTGGCGCAACAATCCTCCGGCTGTTCATCCCAAGAAAGGAGTTCACATTGGCACGGTTCTCCTTGTGAGGGTGCTGAAGAATTGTGCTGCTCCACCGTCCGCATGGATGAAGCCGGCACATTGTAAAGAAGAGCGAGTGCAAGACGTAGCATGGTGTAGTTCTGGAGTCAAGCAACGGCGAGTTCCTTAGTCTCTGAGACACTCTCAGCGGGTTTTCCTTCGGCTCCTTACTCAAGCCTTGGGCCAAATGCCTGTGTTCCTTGTGCAGGTTCAATGCACCAAAAAGACTGGTCTCAAGTTCTCGTAAGGCCTCAGTCACCCGAACACCACAACTTGCTTGAGAAGAACGTGCTTAGATCGTTTTTAATGTTGATCTGCGTCAAACATTGACACAATGTCTTCAAGCTACCAATGATCAGTTTCGGGTCTCCCGACGAGCAGACTGAATCATGGCACCCATGCAATCTGGGCATGACTCGCCAGGAATGTCCACCGGTGAATGCATGACTCGCCAGGGCGAGGTGCTTCTGGAATTGACGGCTTGCTACAAGTGCCTAGCTTCCAAAACCAACCAGCCCTTCTTTCTTACGAGCCGAAAAACTCCGAAAGAACACAAAGATCACAGATCAATGAAGGGGGATCAGACAGTCTCGGTGCAACTGATCAGTCTCAGTGTCTCAGTGTGAATTGTTTTCAGCTACTTCAGAAAACATATACTATAGTCGTATTGGCCAAGTATTGATGGGTGGATTGTACACAAACGAGGATTAGGTACACCGTATACCCCGTTCCCTGTAACTGTGTCTTTTCTCGACGCTTACAGGTAATTCATGGTGACGCACCCTAGTTGTTGCAATCAAACAGCATGAAACTTGCCTGACTGATGTGTCTTCGCAGCTAAAGGCAGAAAGCATCCAAGTTCGATGAAGCAACGGCGAAATGATTTGATCCAGCCCCTTCGCATCCTCTCACTGATTTTGTTGTCTTCTTTTCAGCTTGGACTATGGTGCGCAGCTGCACTCTGGCATGCCGGAACTTTTGGTCGTGCCTCCATGGCCAGCTCGTGACTTGGTTGCACGCAGGAGGACTCTGCGGACTTGATATCTCGTGAGCCTTATACCTTGGCATGGCTACTAACTCGCGCACGAAGAAAATCACCCAATCTGCTTGGCAGAGAAACGATGCGTCAAAGAAGACTGATGACTTTTGGAACACTGGGAGCACCATCTGAAGCAAAGCCTTTGGCCCAACAAAAGGACGCTCTGAGCCAGTCCGGTCTCTCCCAACATGCCTCCTTTGCCCCGAAATCCCGCCCTGGCCCATACGTCAGATACAAAACAGGGCACCGAAAAGAAGGAAACGGACCTGCACCACCGGCCTTCACCAGATGGTCAAAAGGATTTTCGCTCTCCCAGCGCCGTTCGTGCAGTTCGTGCACATCAAGACACATCGAGCCACGGACCGTCCATCCGTGAGGAAAGTACCAACCAGGTCGGTATTTTTGCTTAACCTCAACGTCGGGAAAGAAGTAAGACACAGCTCTGCAGCATTACGCGACGCGGATCACAGACCGAACCAATATCACATTCATGAAAACATTCGGTCAATGTCCGGCGGGAGTTACTGCCAGTTGGACGTTGACCTGTTTTGACCCTCGCATCCCATGTCAGTCTGAGTATGTCACCAGTCACCGTATTCCAAATATATTGTCCTTTTCGACGACAGGACGAAGCAGTGAGCTGTGGTGGTGACACCGTATCACTTAATTAAGTCACAACACGCGAGTGATACGGAAATTGTCCGACGTTCCTGGTGTGCTTGGCTTGTCTGAGCAACACTGCAACTAGAACAAGTTCCTGGAGACAGCCTATTATTTGTCATAGCTCTATGCATACATCAACAGGCGCCGAACAAGCGTCCGCCGAACAAGCGTCCGCTGAACAAGCGGACGAGCTGGTGCAACTCATGCACATGAACAAGCGCTGTCCAGACGCTTGCAACTGCAAGATGCGGATGTGGAGTTGGACACTATGTCACTATGTCAGAATCGATTCATGTGGCCGGCAGCAAACAGTAGTACAAGTGTTTGGGTCCACAGCCCGTACGCTAGCTGTCCAAAGGAAAAGCCACAAACAACAAAACGTACAAAAAGTGCAGCGTGTCGCGCGGGGCTTTCTCTGCCCAAAGAGCAGTTGAAGGAGCAAAAACCTCGAGTATATAGTTCCAAAAGGAATCCAAAAACGTGAAAAACCTCACACGTTTCCTTTCAAACCTGCTTGTCCCAGGGCGCATCATCGAGGTGACGGTTCCAGGGCAAAGGATGGTGCATGAAAATGGCGGGCGCATCATGGTGGCGTCGCATCATCCTTGGCGAAGGGCATGGCCATAGGACATGTTTGTGAAAAATCGGGAAAATCTTGGAAGAACAAGGAAAGAAAAGGATCATTATATAGCTCAGCACCCCGATGCACCCCGATACACCCCGCATAGCTTCACAGAAAAATCAGCAAACATGTTCTTCGTTTCTTTTGAGCAACCTGCTGAGATTCGCATCCTCTGAGGCCAGCGCTTGCAAAGCACGTCTTCAGAAGTTCCGCATAAGCCGTGACGTCCAAGTCCTACAATTGACACCAAAAGAATCTGTCATTCTGCGCAGCAATCGAAGCGAAGCATGGCAACCCAAGCCTTGGCTTCCATGACAGAAATAGGGCAAGAAGATCCATGAACCTGAGCAAAGGGAAAAGCCCTTCTTTCCGAATACTGGGAAACTGGAAAAGAGCACAGCCAGATATGAATCACAAAAAAACATGTGCAAGACGAACTGGTACTGCCGCAAGCTTGTTGCCTTGAAAATGGTCACCTAGAACATGACAACAAGTGTGACAGTGAGCTCTGGGCTTCCACGGGCGCCACTGTGAAGATCTCTGGGGCAAGGAAATACGCTGCGGTCACCGGATCCTGGACCTGAAGAGGGCATCGACACCACTGACTCTGAGACCAGCTGAGCGACCAGCTGAGCTGTCTAAGCTGTTAAAACGGTTGAGCCCACACGTGGTTGTTCAACCACTTTTCTGGGGTCCGAACCAAACTCAAGGGATGCTGCTCCAAAATCTTCAACAGCATGGGGTGGTTCAAGGATTTCTCCAAGCGCCCCTCCAACTCTTTGGCATCCGGCCGGCAACAGGTGCCCACCATCTGAATCGGAACCTCGACATGCTTCAACAAACAAACCAAGTTTAGGGCGCAAAGCGTTTCAAGCACGTGGTCTTTTCTCGCTTTTGTCATATCCAATGGCGCCGTACCGGACCCTGAGCGTCCCACACCGGAGTTCAGGACCACATCTAGAGCCACTGGGTCCAAGCGAAAGTTAAAAGGGTTGGCCTTTGTGTTGTCCCCAGCCACGATGATCTTCCCGACAACTTCCCGGAACTTGGAAAGATTAGCTTTAGCTGCTGCAGCCACATTAGTCAAAGGTCCCAAGGCCAAGAGTGTCACACCCTTGATGTCAAGTTCCAACAATGCAGTCGAAGCTGTTTGGCAATCTGAAGGCTTCGAAAGCTCCTTGGAAAGCTCCTCTGGAAGCTCAGGAAGCTCAAGAACTTCACTCACTTTCTCCAGCTTGGCCCGGTGCTTTTCGACCCAACCAGGGAGCTCCGCATGCTCACTCGAGCTCGGACAGGTGGCACCTCGCACCACAAGAGCTGACACACCCAGTCCAAGCAGCAAGCGTTGGGCCAACGGTGCTGCGACAGGAGCTGCACAAACCCCGTGCACCGTGGTGACCAAGCGTAGCCGTGGTGACCGTGGTGACGTCGTCAGCATCACAAGAGCAGCCATGTCATCGAGCCCCACATCTGTGTCCACAATCAAATCCACATCCTGGATAATGCAACATCAGCATGAAGTAAGCAAAATATACGCCGTGTAGGTCATATAATATGGTTATATATATACACACACACAAAATGAGCTTTTCCGTGAAATTCACTTTTGGGGAAGGCTCCACTGTGTGCCTTTTTTGTGAGAGCGCTTCTCCTCGAAACACATCACTCAATCACTCGGTCTCAGGTCCTGGACGGACTGACCGAGCTGCTCTTCACGCTCCATCGCTAGAGGTCGCAGCTCGGCTGACGGTCTTCGTGGCTCAGTTTGGTTCGGCTAGATGCTCGGGTTGGAATCATGCGGGTTGGCTTCGGTATCGCTTTTTGAACATCACTTTTTGCACTGGTTCTGATGACATAAATCCGTTAGTGCAGAAAGTGTGATGATATCTGGAAGTGCAAAAAGGTGGCGTGGCACTGGGCAATTCTGACGCACAATTGACGTGGCAAATGTAGCTTACGGCGCAACATGTTTGCAACCTTGCAGTGGCAGCAACCTGGTAGCACTGTTGTTTAGGTGCTTGAGAGGTTTTGCAAAACAGCTATTAAAGTCCTTTCAGAACCTACCTGAGGACCCACACTTGGGCCTGCCTGCCAAAAGGTACACTCCACAGCTTAACAAAGCATTGTCGCCCAGTCGTCATGCGCGGTCTTCCTTTTGCAACTCACATTCGTGCCTTCGCCCGTTTTGGCTGGCAACCTTTGTAAAGATGACATGGTGTTGTGGTCAGAATTGACACAGAAACACATCGATCGATATATTCCACTTCGACGATGTGAAGAACCCATGCCCTAGAAGTCCAAAGACTATACTGTACTTTTCCTGATTGAAGTAAGGGAAATGCTCTTTCAAGTCCCCAAAAGACTATTCCTTTTATCGTCTTCATCTTTCAAGGCATGGACTCGAGTCTTGCCATACATGAGGCAACAGCAGTTCCCGCTTGTCTTTTTGGAACTGCTGTCTTTGTGCACGCTCTCATCACCTCCCCCCTTCGGGGGGAGGCGGGTGTCTTCTTAGCAACGCCTCCAAACTTCCTCAAAGCCACTGCTTGCGCTCTGCAGGGCATTTGTCATTTTTCATTTTCGTATGCTTGACCAACGATCCCACAGAGCCATGCCCCACACGATCTGCGATGGGCGCTGTGACATCAGTGCTTGGTCAACTGTACACCTTGCAGCTTCCTGGAGACTCCGAATTAGGTGAGTCCCTCAATGTCGTGCTGTCATTTGTCAAACTCAACCTTCTCGTCCTGACACAGACCCAATGTCAGACAAGCACTCAAGCAACGGCAAAGAGCAGGACGGAATTTTGCACCGCAGACCGGAGGATCTTTCTTGACAGATTAGGCCAACAAGCTGTAAATTGCTCACTCAGGTGAATATTTGCCAATACGGGAATTCATACCCTGCACATGCATACGTTCTCGCAATGCCACAGCTTGGACACAATCAGACTGCCATCCTGCCTTCGTGAAATCAGAGCAGAAGTCTTTGCAGGTTGTAAATCCTTGGCGAGCCTCACCCTCCCGAGCGGCATTCGCTATATCGGGTATAGAGCCTTTGGCAACTGTACTGAGCTCTCGTACCTAGGATATGCTATGAATAAGTCAGAGGCATGGCGATATCCCTATGCCGCAAACAATGCCTTTGATGCGTGCGCTAAACTAGCCACCCCTAAGTGGCTCCACTACATTCCACCTAAGGACGGCGATTGGGTTGCCCCCTGCAAGTGACCTGTTGCTATCCATCATTGCTCACATGTTTACTAGGGGTTGTCAAGCAACAACTACTGGAGTAATGCATGGCTAGAGTAGCAAGGACGGCTACCCAAGTAGCTGCCCCTCTGCATTGACAGGCTCAAAACCCCCAGTAGTGAGGGCAGGTACCGCACACAGTGCCGCAATGCATTGTGACACGGTGTCGCAAACGAGCTCACTGGTCAGCAATGAACGCCAGTTGGTGTTGCAACTATTGTTGACGACCCTCTCTGGAGAAGAACACCAGGTGATCATTGATCTCCAAGAGTTTGATCGACTCGACGAGTTCGAAACTGCTGTCCTTGAGCAGCTCCCGACCATTGGAGGAAGCAGCACCTTTGGGTGCGAGTTCACTTTCTTTCGTTCAACGAGATACAGGTCAAATCCTGCGGAACCCTATCTGGGACACCCTCAGGGACTGCAACCACTTTCACCTAGTCGTCCGCCAATGCCGCAGTCGGGCAGAACACAAAGGGCAGGTAAAGAGGAATGCTAAAGCAATCCAAGTGCCGCCCACCCGTTCAGGGCAAGTGCTTCCCCATGCCTTTACACACACGAACGAAGTGAGACATGTACAAGTTCTGGCAACACTGTATAAAAGGCTGCTGATAGTGCACCTGCCCAGCTCATTAGTATGCCTGAAAGACGGCGCCTTTCGTCGATGTTATGTACTCCATACAGTCACTGCCCCTGAGTGCAGACATTTTGGGAGCTGGGTGTTTGAGGAGTGCCATGCGCTAGCTCACGTAGGAGACCAACACAAAGCAGGCAATCAGCTTACGCCGCAAGCGCGCTTCCACACCCGATCCTTTGAAAAATCGCGCTGCAGACACTCAGTTTTGAAAGGACTGAATATGATCCGCGAGACCCAAACCGGGTCATACCAGAGGGTTGCTTCTCGGAGACAGGACTAGAGGCCCTAACTCTACCAGGACTTCAGCTGGATGGGACCGTCTGCATGCGAACACTGTGACAGGCTGCAGACAGTGGACATTTCACAGACTGACATCAGTGAAATCTTAGGGGGCACCTTCGCACGCTGCTCCCAGCTGCAACACCTCAAATTAGCAAAGACAGTGAGACGCATTTGGCGAGACGCCTTCTTACGGTGCACTTCCTTGGTAGAAATACATACCCCACCTGCCTTGCTATACATTAGTAAGCGAGCCTTTGCAGGCTGCACACAACTCTGCAAGCTCGTTAGGATGGGCAAGAAAGGAACTTGGAGAGGCACCTATGCAGAACATAATGCGTTCGAGATGTGCGCAAAACTGGCACTCCCGGCATGGATTCGGCTTCTCCCCAAGCCCAATGACGGCAAAGAAGAGTGGGCGGACTTCATGAGAAGTTGTGCAGAAGCCAATCTCAGTGCTGCCGCACGTCCATGACGATGTACGCATACGTGTCGGGGGAAAGAGATTCCCAGAGTAGTTTGGCCAATCGGCTCAGTGCTTGCTAGCAGATCAGTAGGGAGCCTTATGTCTGCCATCTCAACTGCCAAGGCGTGGTACAGTGTACAGTTCTCTAGGCCTAGGAATAGCGGTGTTTCACTGTTTCACGTAGTTTATGGGGCTTGCATGCTTACCTGATACCCGGTGCACTCGTGTAACCAAGGGAAGACGCCGATGTACTTATGCAATTTACCCATCAAATCTCTCCGACTAGTGCAGCGTACTCTCTCTACAGGCCTAAAGGCAGTTTATTGGCACAACACACAGCAAACCAACAGCTTGTCGATTACGCATGTCTCTTCCCTTCACTTCCTCATCCATTTTATCCATCCGCGCCAGCCATATCGACAGATTAGAGTTGAGGATCTCCTCACACTATTCGGTTTTGACAGCAATGTTAACTTGTCAGACGCTTTGCACGTAATACGTGCAAACATTGGCAAATTCAAAGAGTGTGTGGTTCCAGACCCCTCCATGACTGTCGGTGGCTCCCCCTTAATTCTCCTCAATGAAGTGCAGTCTTTACGTCACGTCCCGCCGAGGTTTTGGCAGCTTTGCCACGGCATTTTGCATTTCCGTATGCTACGACCCAGCAATCTACCAGTCTCTATTAAAGGAATTCATCTTGGAACCTCAATAGTTGGTCTCCTGGGCTACCCACCAACATACATAAAACGTGGGTAGTCAGAACCATGTTGAAGCAAGCCCCTGTGCTGCTACAAGAGACAAAATGGAACCAGGCTAATCTCCAGTACTTATCACACACATGGCCTGATATCAAAGTAGTTACCACTCTTGCCAAACAGAACCCAAAAGAACAAGCCGGTGTTGCGATTCTCTTCCCCCCAGGCTGGAAAGTTCAAGAAGAGAAAGCGCTGGTCAAGCATTATGCCGTTGCTGCCATATCAAGCCTGCACTATCTGGCTTGTCTCGATCTACATACCCCCCAACAGTCCCAAGTCTTTTGTTGCGTCTACACTACAAACCATCCTTGCGTTGACCAGTCATCCTGTCTTTGTAAGAGGGGACTTTAATCGATGTGATCAGCATCACTTCCAAACGTGGGATGATTTTCTGGTACAAGCTGGACTCACAGATGTCGACCCACTGCTCCCCACCTACAAATTCCAAGACCAAGAATCTGCGCTTGACCGCTTCTTAGTACCCAGTCCCTTTCTGGACACTACGCAGCTCTTTGCGCGTATCTATGGCAGATATCGAATAGATGCCTGCCACCATAAGGCACTGATGCTTCGACTTAAAATGAAACCTCGTCTTCAACCTCATCCACAGTCAGAAAAGCATCATACTATACCGACCCAAGTCTTCTTAGATCCAACAGCCACGTCAGAAGGGCTGCAGGAAGTTGCTAGGCAAGCTGCGCTTCTTGCCCTCAAGCGAAAAATTTCTCTTGCGCAAGAAACTAAAGGCGCCAGCGCTGTGCTCTCGCAACATTGCCGCGCGATAGTTTGGAGCTGGTGGAGAACTTACTCCTGCCACTTCAAAAAAATGTCGCCATTAAAACGGCTGTACAAGCTGTTAGGCAAAGAACAAACCTATTTACACATCCAGCAAGAAGAAGTGCGCTTGTTCTATGAACAAAGCGCTGCCATCGATCTTCTCCAACCTTGGCAAACCCAGCAAGGATGTCTTTTAATACCATCCACGATCATAGCTGCAGCACTTCAGGCAGCAGAAGTCGCTGCAGCTGCTAATATGCAATTACCGATAGGTACAGACAGCACAGATCCAATCCAGCGAACAAGAAGACAAAAGGCCTTCTGGGACAGGCTCAAAACACTGTGTCCTAGAGGCACCTTCTACCACGGCCCTTTGTTGCAACATAATGGGCAGGAATGCCGTACTGCCCTTGAATATGATGAAGCCACGCTAGCTACCCGAAATTTCTGGTTTACACACCCCGTTCGGTATGATCGTGACTGGCATGACACGCTTTCGGCTTACCGACGGTGTGTCTCTCCTTGGCCACAAATTCCAGAACCTACGGAGCAAAACTACATTGAGCGTCTCTTACTTACTAAAGATTCGGCGCCAGGACCTGACGGGT